TACTCAAGACTATATGCATTGTTAACAATTAACAATGTGGGGTTCATGTAAGAATACACCACTGTACCAATAGAGAAGAAAAGAGCAAACATACCCAAATGGTTACAATCAAGGTCATAAATGGTGCTGGTTCTTTGGAGGCCATCTGTTTGGTTTACTCCTGCATCATTTTTCATTGACTTTCCTATGTCAGGCACAAATCTTCTACTTTTCTGTTTTTGTCTGGCCTTTTTCTTTTTCTTTTCACAAGCCCTAAAAACATACATTATTTTCCCTCTAATGTTGGTTCTCAAAAAAGTGAAAACAAAAAACTAAAACCCACAAAAAAATGAAACTCTCCTATGACCTAACCTCAACCCTAAATAAAATACTAACTCTAACCCTAACTATAATATATCAACTCTAAGCATAACTCTAATCCTAACACTGTTCCTAATTTTAAACCTAATCCTAACCCTTACCCTAAAGCTACCCAGAAACCTTACTCTAATTCTAAAACTAATCCTAACAATAAGCCTGTAATTCTAAAACTTAACCCTAAACTGAGCCATCACCCTAACCCTAATCCCAAATATTACACCTAACCTCAAAACTAACCTTAGCCCTACCTTATTTTTTAACTAACCCTAAACCAAAGACTAATCCTAAACGTAACTAACTTTTAGCCCTAACCTTATACCTAATCCTAAAGCTAAGTCTAAGCATAATTTTGAACTCAAACCAAACCCTAACCTAACCTTAACACTAACACTATACCAAAAAATAAAAAAAATTCCCTCAGCTAAAGTTCTTCACCATAGTAAAGATTACTTTTAACCTTACATACTTTAAGCCTTCATGGCTTCCATCCCCTTTCCCACAAAAAACTCAAGTACAATATAAAGTTTACTGAAACATAGCCACATTCATTAAGGAACTGATACTGTTTTTCCTCTAGTTGAAGCAGTTGTAGTAGAGCATGCCCATAAAAATACTTACTATCTGGCCCTTTACAGAAAAAATTGTCAATCCCTGTTTTGTGACTAATTAACTTACATCACTCCATTCCTATGAGTTCCTTAAAAGCAAGAATTAACCAAATTCTCCCTTGTTTTCCCCAGTGCCAACAGAATAACTACAGAGGGAATGAATAAAAGAAAAAAGGACCATGAACTTCAGACTCCTGTTTAACAGCTATTTGACTCTTAAAGGATAGAATAAGGATGACTCCTTGAAATGTCCAAGGTTTTATTTTCCATAAAAAAGAAATTAAAACCACTTCATACTGGTTAAGTATACATTTTTAAAAGCTCACCTAAAATGGATGCATCTTATCAAATGAAAATTATGCCTCAATAAAGTTGTTTTTTAAATATAAAAAGTACTTTACCTTAATTGTTCTAGGAAAGTATCAATGTGCTCTTTCCAATTTTCTGGAAAGCCAAACATAAACTTCCTTATGAGATAATATGGATAGCCTATGTAATAATAAACAAACAAAATTATCTAAAAACCTAGAATTTTGAAGACATGTAATTAATTCATTAAAAAATACATACATACACACACACACACACACACACACACACACACATTTTTACTATGTGCCAGTCAGGCACTGTTGCAGATACGAGGATTCAGCAATTAACAAAACAACCCAAATCCATACCTTCATGGAACTTGCCTTCTAGTGTGAAACAGAAGGCAAACCAACAAGTAAAATATCTTGTTAGATGGTTATTAATGCTATGGAGAAAAGTTATGCAGTTGAGGGGGAACAGAAATATCAGTGTGTTCATGCAGACAGCATCTTTAAAAAAGGATAGTCAAACCCAGCTGGTGTGGCTCAGTGATTGAGTATCACCCTATAAACCAGGAGGTCATGGCTTATGAACCAGGAGGTGATGGTTCGATTCCCAGTCACGGTACATGCCTGGGTTGCAGGCTTGATTCCCCTGGATCGTGCAGGAGACAGCCAATCAATGACTCTTTCTCATCATTGAGGGTTCTATCTCTCTCTCCCTCTCCCTTCCTCTCTGAAATCAATGAAAAATATAAATATTTTTTAAAAGTATAGTCAGAAAAAACTAACAAATTTCAGAGAGAAAGCGGGAGTGGGTGGGAGTAATTAACCGGGGAACTTATATGCATAGCCCATAGACATAGACAATAGAGTGGTGAAGGCAGTCAATGGGAAAAACAAACAAAAGGGGATATCTGTAATACTTTCAACAATAAAGATTAAAAAAAAGGGATAGAGATATTCTTACTGAAATAGCATCGGAAACCTTGAGACTTGAAGTAAGCCACATGGCAATATGAGGTTAAAACATTGGAAGCAGAGAGAACAAAACAAAAGGCTGCCTTTGTAGAACAAAGTGACTAGTAAAGTTAAAGTGTAGTGAGGAGAGACTAGTACCAGGAGGATACTCAGATGGGTAACAAAGGTAGTGTGGGAGCATGAGATATAAGGCCTTGGAGTCATTTTACAGACCTAGTCTCTTACTTTGAGTGAGAAAGAAAGCTATGGAAATGCTATGACCAGAGAAGCTGTATAATGTGCTTGGGTTTTAAGTTAAGCTATTGACTTTAATAGGACTGTAATAGCTGCTATTTTGAGAAGAGTCTATGGAAGTATAATGGGAGAAACAAGGAGACCAGTTAGGAGGTTACTGCAATCACTCAGAACAAGAGAGAGGTTTGGACCACAATGGTCAGCAGAAGCCTAGGTTCTGAATATATTATGGAGATAATGCCAATAGGACATACTGACACATTAATGTGTGTGGGAAAGAAATCTAGGACTTAAGGATGTCCCCAAGGATTTTAGCTAGCCGCTGGAAGCCTGGAAAGAGGGGGAAGTCTGTAGATAAAGCAGATTTAAGGGAGAAGATCAGGTTTTAGATATACAGTCATGCACTGCATAAGGACATTTTGGTTAACGATGATGGGCTGCGTGTGTATATGAAGGTGGTCCCATTAGATCATAATGGAGTTGAAAAATTTGCATTGCCTAGTGACTTTGTAATTGTGACATCAAAAAACGGTATCACCTAGTGACAGTGCAGTGTTATGATGTCACAGTGCAATGCATTACTCACAGCTATTAATAAAGAATAAGGATATAGCCCTGACCAGTTTAGCTCAGTGGATAGAGTGTCAGCCTGCGGACTGAAGGGTCCCAGGTTCGATTCCGGTCAAGGGCATGTACCTTGGTTACAGGCACATCCCCAGTAGGGGGTGTGCAGGGAGCTGTATTTAACATTTGAAGGAGTTGTGACACTGTTTCCCACAGTGGCTGCCCCTTATACTTCCCCTACCTCATGTGTGGGTTCTGATGTCTTCATATCCTCCTCAATGCTGGTTATTATCTATCTTTTTTAGTACAGCTCCTAGCTGGTGTGAAGTGTTATGAACCATGGTTTTGGTTAGCATTCCCCAATGACTTGGACATTGAGGAGAAGGTCGTGATTGCATGCCAACTATGCACCAAGTCAAATAAAATAAAGACGAGATCATTTCTAGTGGAGTTCTCTGCGGAAAGCTGAACGCATGTGTTGCCTTCACAGTGACCGAGTGGCTGTAGTAAATGGAGTGGTCAGGAAAGGCATCTCTGGAGAGGTGGCACTTTCCCCGAGCCTCGAATAATCAGAGGTTTTCTGTGGGAAGAGTGTTCCAGGCAGAGGGAACAGCCCATGCAAAAGTCCTGAGGCAGCCCTGACCGGTTTAGCTCAGTGGATAGAGCGTCGGCCTGCGGACTGCAGGGTCCTGGGTTCGATTCTAATCAAGGGCATGTACCTTGGTTACAGGCACATCCCCAGTAGGGGGTGTGCAGGAGGCAGCTGATCGGTGTTTCTCTCTCATCCATGTTTCTGACTATCCCTCTCCCTTCCTCTCTGTAAAAAAATCAATAAAATATATTAAAAAAAAATAAGGATATAAAGAAAGATTTTTTATTTTTATTTAATTTTTTTCTTGATTAAGGTATTACATTGTGTCTTTATCCTCCCATGCCCCCCCACCTCCCCACTCATACCCTCACACCCCTGGTGTCTGTGTCCATTGGTTAGGCTTACATGCATGCACACAAGTACTTTGGTTGATCTCTCCCTTACTCCCATCCTCCCCTACCTTCCCTCTGAGGTTGGACAGTCTGATCGATGCTTCTCTGTCTCTGGATCTGTTTTTGTTCATCAGTTTATGTTGTTCATTATAGTCCAGAAATGAGTGAGATCATGTGATATTATGAGAGCATAATGCTCTCCAGTTCCATCCATGCTGTTGCAGATGGTAAGAATTCCTTCTTTTTTACCGCAGCGTAGTATTCCATTGTGTAGATGTACCACAGTTTTCTAATCCACTCATCTGCTGATGGGCACTTAGACTGTTTCCAAATCTTAGCTATAGTGAATTGTGCTGCTATGAAAATAGAGGTGCATATAGCCTTTCTGACTGGTGTTTCTAGTTTCTTGGGATATATTCCTAGAAGTGGGATCATTGGGTCAAATGGGAGTTCCATTTTTAGTTTTTTGAGAAAACTCCATACTGTTCTAAAGAGAGATTTTTAAACAGCTGTATAATGTGTTTGTGTTTTAAGGTAAGTTATTGCAAGAGCTGAAAATTAAAAAGTTTAGAGTTGAAGTTACAGTAAGCTATGGTTAATTTATTGAAGAAAAATGTTTTCTTATAAATTTAATGTAGCCTAAGTGTACAGTGTTTATAAAGTTTACAGTAGTGTACAGTAATGTCCTAGCTTCACATTCACTCAACACTCACTCACTGACTCACCTAGAGTAATTCATTTTGTAAGCTCTATTCATGGTAAATTACCTACACTGGTTACCATTTTTTATCTTTTATACCATATTTTTACTGTACCTTTTCTACATATCTAGATATACAAATACTTACCATTGCATTACAGTTGCCTATAGTATTCAGTAATGTGCTGTATAGGTTTGTAGCCTAGGAGCAATAGGCTATGCTATACAACCTAGGTGTATAGTAGGCTACACTATTTATGTTTGTGTAAGTGCACTCTATAATGTTCACATCACAAAACCACCTAACAATGTTTTTTCATAATGAATCCCTGTCATTAAGTGATACATGACTATATTAAGTTTGAGATGCCTATAGGCGTCCTAATGGAGATGTCAAATGGGCAGATGGAAAGTAAGTTGAGTGGCTAGAAGAGTATTTTTCGTTAGATATATAAATTTGGCATTTGTCACCACACAGATTAAGATTTAAAGCCTCAAAGAAATCAGCATAGTACTGAATGTAGAAAAAGCCCTAATCTACCCCATTGTTAAGAGGCAAAGAAAAAGAAAAATGAGCAAAGAAAGAAAGAAGGAACAGGGAGTGAGACAGCATGAAATTCAGAATATGGTATTTTAGAAGCCAAGTTAAGTGTTTTATCAACAAATGACAAGTGCTGGAGAGGATGTGGAGAAAAGGGAACCCTCGTTAGTACATTGCTGGTGGGAATGCAGACTGGTGCAGCCATTATGGAAAACAGTATGAAGTTTCCTCAAAATATTAAAAATGGAACTGCCATTTGACCCAGTGATCCCACTTCTAGGAATATATCCTAACAAATCCGAAATACCAATCAGAAAGAATGTATGCACCCTATGTTTATAGCAGCACAATTTACAATAGCTAAGATCTATAAACAACCCAAGTGCCCATCAGTAGATGAGTGGATAAAAAAGCTGTGGTACATTTATACCATGGAATACTATGCAGCAGTAAAAAAGAATTGCTTACCCTTTGAGACAGCATGGAGGGACCTGGAGAATATCATGCTAAGTGAAATAAGTCAGTCAGAGAAAGACAAGTATCACATGATCTCACTCATATGTGGAATCTAAGTGGATCCAATGACATGGAAGCATGGAACAGAGTGAGGAATCTCAGAAGGCAGGCAGGGGAGGGAAGGGGGGTAGGAGGTAATCAACCAAGGACCTGGTATGCATATATACATGGCCCATGGACACAGACAATGGGATGGAGAAGGCCTGGGTGAGGGGACAGGGGCAGGCTAATAGGGATTAATGGGGGAAAAAAGGGGACGTATGTAACACTTTCAACAATAAAGATTTAGCCCTAACCGGTTTGGCTCAGTGGATAGAGTGTCGGCCTGCGAACTCAAGGGTCCCAGGTTCGATTCTGGTCAAGGGCATGTACCTTGGTTGCGGGCACATACCCAGTAGGGAGTGTGCAGGAGGCAGCTGATCAATGTTTCTCTCTCATCGATGTTTCTAACTCTCTATCCCTCTCCCTTCCTCTCTGTAAAAAATCAATAAAATATATTTTTTTTAAAAAGATTTCAAAAAAAGTGTTTCAAAGAGGTAGGTAAGATTAACTATGTCAAGTTTATACTGAATTTAGCAATGTGGGAGCCATTGGTGACTTTGATAAGAGCTGCTTCAGTGAAGAATTGGGGATTAAAGCATAATTAAAGAGAATTCAAGGAAAAAATGGGGGGAAAGCTCAAGAGGAATTAGATATAACAAATCTTCTGAGTTGCTTTGCTGTAATTGAGAGTAGTTAAAAGAAGTGTGGTTAAAAGGACTGTTCTCTAAAAAAAGAAAAGAGGAATTGTTTTTGATAGGAGAAGGGAGAATTACTACAGTGATATCTTTGAGTAAAAGGGAAAATGGGAGCTAAGGTACAAATGCAGATGCTGACACAGACAGAAATATGGTCTATTCATCCATATAAAAGCAGCTCTAGGTGCAAGAAAATGAGAATATATGAGAAAACGTTCTTCTGATTGTTCTTATTGCTCAGGTCATACCCTCCTTCCCCTATCCCTACCCCATCCTAAGAGGAGGGAGCAGATGCTTATAAAAATATGAAGTAGCCCTAGCCGGTTTGGCTCAGTGGATACAGCATCGACCTTCGGACTGCTCAGATGTGGTTTCTTCAATCCTATTAGCTGTGTGCAAGTCACAGGCAGAAAATCAGATTATAACAAGACTAGGGCTGTGTAGGGCAGGTTCAACAAAGAGAGGACCTAGGGAGTTACATTATATTCTTACAAAGCAATTCTTCCCAAATAAGGAAAACTTCCCTTAATTAAAACAATAAATAAATAAAAATCACTGGACTTATTTAAACTGTCAAATAGTTTTACATAATGTGGTCAATTCTGTTTTTAATTTTTAGTTTTGACTGATTCAGTTTTAAAACACCTAATTAAAAGTAAAAAATATATATTACTATTAGAAATATGGTTAATTGCTTCACTTATTAAAATGACTTATCAATTAATAATGAGTCATTACCTGCTTCTTTCATGGAAATCCGGTCTATCATCCCTTTTAATATATAAATGTTGCCTGATAATGTCTTAAGTTTGTTGTGTTCAATCCGTTCTACAATTGCGTTACTGTGCCAATAGATATTAGTGACGTCTCTAGGAGGAAAAATAGCTTAGTTAAGGCCAAAATATTCACAGCAGTCACAATGGACATAGATAAGTATATCAAATTATAATAGAAAGTAATAAATTTGCATTCCAGCTACATTAACAATGTTATAATCTAATTATAAAACATTTGAGGGCCAAACATTGCAGCAGAACTCAACTGCATGCTTAATGTGATCCTCAGAGTACCAGTATGTGCAAAGAAACTGTGCTGTGATCAAACATACCTCTAGTATAAAATATATCATTAGTAAGGAAGCAGGGAGTATCTCTAAATATGTGGTGTTGACAATGTTTGCGATTCCATCCTGATGCTCAGCTTCCAAAGAATGATTTCCTAACTCTCTTATCGGGGCCTATACTGTGTTAGCTTTCATGCAATTATATAGTTTGGATCCATCTACGCTTGTGGATTTTCAATCCTCACTATACAGCCAAATTTTTTTACCCTCATCTTTGGAAAGTACGAAAAAGTTACAGGGAAAAAACAAACTGCAATACCAAATCATTTACCCATAAATCTACTCTTTATATTTCCTCAAATGAAGCTAAGGATAAATTTATACATATAAAAGGCTAAAGTGACCAACCGTCCATCCATCCAGTACATATGACACACACTGGGAATTTAAAAATAAACTTTGACTCGAGCATGCAGTTTAATCAATTTTAATCAGTCAGTGCTTTTATCAATGTTGTTTTATTTCATGTTTTTATATGTTTTTGTTGTTTTTATGTTTTTGTTGTTATATCATGTTGTTACTGTTTATTAATCAATTTATATATTATTTTCATATACATTTTACTGATTTTCTTTCATCTCTGGTATTTCTATTATAAAAAAAGGGTGAATAGCGATATTAAAATATTTCTTCTAATTAATTTCCTTTCAATGTGCATAAATCCGTGCACCAGGCCACTAGTATAAAATAGAATGAATGCCGAAACCGGTTTGGCTCAGTGGAGAGAGCATCGGCCTGCAGACTGAAGGGTCCCAGGTTCGATGTTTCTCTCTCATCGATGTTTCTAACTCTCTATCTCTCTCCCTTCCTCTCTGTAAAAAATCAATAAAATATATATATATATTTTTAAATAGAATGAAATATGAAGATGTATTAGATAAATGTTTAAAATTCTCCAATTTACTAGATAACTAAGAATAAACTTACTAAATCTAAGTGTAGTAAGAAAATATTACTTCTCATTCTGTGTTTTTTTTTTGCCTCTCTCCCTTCCTCTCTGTAAAAAATCAATAAAATATATATATATATTTTTAAATAGAATGAAATATGAAGATGTATTAGATAAATGTTTAAAATTCTCCAATTTACTAGATAACTAAGAATAAACTTACTAAATCTAAGTGTAGTAAGAAAATAAAGTTCTATACATTTGGTCAAATGGGACTAAATTCATATATTATATCTTAATATGATATTACTTCTCATTCTGTGTTTTTTTTTGCTTTATTAATTTTATTTAACACTTAAATAGCACTTTAAAGTTCTGTTCTCAAGTTTTAAAAATATAACTCATTTAATCCTCAAAATAACCTCAAAAGTAGTAATATTATTATCACTGTACAGATGAAAAAACTGAGACTGCCCAAGTCATACAGTCAATAAGCAGCAGCAATAGAATTCCAACCAAGGCAAGCTACACTGTCTCTTGGATATTCAGAAAATGGGCACACAGCAGGCAGAAATGGAGTGGGCAAGACAGAGTTTATATACTCAACTTATAAATTTTCAGGCCAGTACCTTTGAATAGTAATATCCTGTATTGTTTTCATTACATGTTGTTTTTTTTTTTTACAAAAAAAATTTCTTTATCACTAAGATATTGATTTTGAAGAATAGGAAATGGTGCTAATAGATTAGCAGAATTAAGCAAAGCCCTTACCTGTTGATGCTTTCACTTTAGGGAGAACCAGAAAGTGCCATATTTTAATATGTAGCTGTATGACAAAGCTTTAAAGTAATTTTGATTCCTTGTCTGAAGCAATAATTATACCTGGTTATCCCAGATATAAATTTAGACGTGAGACTCTGAATTAAAATGCATGTAAGTAAATATTAACTAACCAACTATAATTAAGCAGCAAATACCAGTCAACTTATTAAAACCTCTGGGGAAAAAATCAAGCACTGTGTATAAAAATTTGAGCTGTCACTATTTTAAAAATAACCCATAAGGCAAAAATAAGAAAGCTGGTTACAATCAATATATAGTCATTTTACCATTTTTGCCTTTACTTTGCAATCTAAACAGTCTTTGTTTATTTCTCACGCTTCTCCTTTTAAGCTCTTATACATAGTGTCTTATTTTCTTAAAAGAATATTCAAGTCCAGCTGGTGTGGCTCAGTGGTTGAGCATTGACTTGTGAACCAGGAGGTCATGGTTCAATTCCCAATTGGGCTATGGGCTCCATTCCCAGTGGGGGATGTGCGGGAGGCAGCTGACTGATGATTCTCTCTCATTAATGTTCTGTCTCTCTCCCTTTCCCTTCCTCTCTGAAATCAATGGTAATATAGTATATATACATATATATATGAATATTCAAATGTTATACTTACATCAATTTTCCTTCTACACATATAGCAGTATTATTGTTGATGATTTTAATCATCCATTCCTGTAGCTGGACTACCTAATTAAACATAAAATAAAGTATGTATTTTCTGCATTACTTGTAGCATAAGCATTACAAAATCAATTTACATTAAATTAAAAGAAAAAACTCATAAGTAATCCAAATGATTCCTTAGTGCGCATCTATATAAAAATCATACTCTATTTTAAATAGCAATAAGATAAAATTCTTGTAAACAATAAAACAGAAAAGATGAATGGCGAGAAAGACTGCGCTTAAATCATATTGCATAGTTTGTTTCCAATCCAGAATTAATTATACTTTATATATTCTTATTATCTAGTATCTCAATCACTGGAGGAGGGAGAGTATCACCTAAAATCCTAAGGTAGTCATTAAAACATTAAGTCCCACCAAAGACCCAATAACTTGGAGAAAAGGGGTTAGTTGTGTAATATACATGTATGCCACCATCGCTCTTACTCCTAAAAACTCACAGCACATTATTTTCTTTGCAAAGTTGATTTGAAGTTGCATTCAATTTTCTATATACTATAAAGGTAATTGCTAGGAATCTATATTTAACAGCACTGTATTCCAAAGCAAATATCTGAGAATTCCTTATTTTAGGACAAGTAAAATTCTATTATAAGGAAAATTTCTGTGAACACCAGTGGTAGGAAATTGTTTCTATTATGTAACAACTTAACATTGAACTAATTCTGATGAGATATGTAGCCCAAGGTCACAAAATGACTAATTTGACAAGTCATTTACTTTATACATAAAATTATAAGTTTATATATAAAGACATTCTCCAGTGGTAGTTTATGTTGAGTCAGAAAAAGATGTTAAAAATGGAACAGTGCTCTTAGTTACTGTACTTTACATTTATATTCATTTAAAAAATTATAGTTAGGATTTGGGGAAGAGGCAATAAAATTCTTTCTACTTCCACATTGGGAACCACCTGAGACACGTACATCAAGTAAGTCAGATGGTAGTAAAAATAAAAGCTATACTAGATAGTGTCCCAAGCACTTTAGATGCATTGACTCAGATTATTCTCCTAACACTGGGAGATAGTAACTTCATTTTATAGATAAAGAAACTCTGTAAGGCCTAGTTAAGTAATATAAATAACTTGCCCATGTCACACATAGCTAGTCAGTGGCACAGATGGGTTACAAAACTGGAATTCTGGCTTTAGAACCCCATACCATATTGCTTATATAGAATGTCAAAATATTCACTCAGCAAATGTTTGTTGAGCTCTATATGATGAGGCTGCATATCTCCAGGAACTGAATTTTGTACAGTTCTGTAAACCCAGGTAAAGGCTTAGTGTTTTCTCTTGAGATAAGAAATTACTAGAGAAATTCGAGCAGAGGATGACATGATTTAATATTTTAAGGAGCTGTTGGGTAGAAATTGAGAACTTCATAAAGACCCTGGCTTCTGTCTGGAAAATGCCCACCATCATCCTTTTAAAAATTAATGGACAAACCTTTAACAACTATAAACTTAACCTTTTATCTCTTTCTCCTTGAACTTACTGTTCCATTCCAGTTTCTCCAGCAAATATCCTAATGCTGAGATGGCGAACCTATGACACACATGTCAGAGGTGACACGCGAACTCATTTTTTTGGTTGATTTTTCTTTGTTAAATGGCATTTAAATATATAAAATAAATATCAAAAATATAAATCTTTTTTTTACTATAGTTGCAAATATCAAAAAATTTCTATATGTGACACGGCACCAGAGTTAAGTTAGGGTTTTTCAAAATGCTGACACACCGAGCTCAAAAGGTTCGCCATCACTGTCCTAATGTAACATAGTTGGATGGTCTGAAGTCTTTTATTGATCACTGTTACTTTACAACACAAAAAATTCTCAGATCTTTAGGTGCTATACGCAATTCCTTTCTCTTAATTGTTGTTAATAGTACCTCAAGAATTAGGAGGGGGGGGAATTAAAAATAGGAATAAAATCAGTGTTCATCCCTAAAGGGAGTAAGTAAATTGTTGAAGGCTATGCAACTAATAATCAACCAAGGTAAGACTTAACACCTGGGCCTTCTTGCTTTCAACCCACTGCCTCTACATTAAATAGTAGTAACGAGAGAGCATAAGAGCTCAAGCTCTTAAAGAATGGGGATAATACTTATCTGCCTTAAAAGTTTTCCTACCTTGCCCTAACCGGTTTGGCTCAGTGGATAGAGCGTCGGCCTGCGGACTCAAGGGTCCCAGGTTCGATTCCGGTCAAGGGCATGTACCTTGGTTGCGGGTCGCATCCCCAATAGGGGGTGTGCAGGAGGCAGCTGATCGATGTTTCTCTCTCATCGATTTTTCTAACTCTCTATCCCTCTCCCTTCCTCTCTGTAAAAAATCAATAAAATATATTAAAAAAAAAAAAAGTTTTCCTACCTTATTATTTTTAACTCCGTTTGTAGTAGTTTGGCATATACTTGGAAGAAGCTTTGAAGTGTATCTCTTTGATCCCTGAGGTATTGTTACATTAAACCCTGGAGTTGCAAGCACAATTTTACATGTGTCGTTTATGGAACCTGGAAGATCAGTTTCTCTGGGCACTGTTTTCTCATTTCTTCCCTTAATTTCCTGTTGTGAAGTCCCTTTTATTCTGACCTCATTATCAGAAATCATTAATTTACTGTGATTTTTAACAGAAACACAGTTAGTATTGAGAGTCTCAGCAGTAGTATTTTGGGATTTTTCATAGGTAGAGTTAATGTCGTCTAAAACAAATGTGTTCTTTCTGAACTTAGTGGTTGCAACGGTATTCTCCTTTGAAAGAATTTGTTTTGCCAACTGAGCTCTAGTTAATGCCCTGTTGGAGACTATTGCAGCTGAAACACTTGCATGTTCTTGGTTCAGAATTGGAAGCTCTGCAAAAAAAAAAGAAAAAAAATACAAAGTCAATAAAATTTTCAGAAGAATCATATGAAATTAAAAGAGAAACAGGAAAATTTAAAACTTAATATTAAAAAGAAGTCTTCAGGTTAAGAATACTCCACCCTCCTGCCCAGTCTTTCTGAGTGCTTCTGCCTTTTATGATTTAACTAGAAGCCTGGTGCATGAAATTTGTGCACGGGGTGGGGTGGGGTGGGATTCCCCAGCCTGGCCTGTGCCCTCTCACAGTGTGGGAGCCCCACGATCCATCTCCCCAGAGGTAGGCCCTGCCCACCCATCTGGGGCTCCTTGATGGATTGCCCCAAAGAGATAAGCTGGAGCCGGGGGACCCCACAGAGGGGGTCTCACCTCAGCAGCTCAGTGCGGAGCCGCTGGGACCCCTGGCCTTACCTCATGGAGCCGCCATGACCCCTGGCCTCGCTGCACAGAGCAGCCAGGATCCCTGGCCTTGCCATGCAGTGCCACCGGGACCCGCCTCCAAGGCTCCGCACGCGCCCACTGTGCATGCAGCCTCCTGGTGATGGACTGTTATGGCATGAGGGCATCACAGCGTGAGGGCGTGACAACCACATAGGCTTTTATTAGTATAGATCTTTCATCCACAGTCAAAATTTATTGCCTACACGGGGAAAATAATTATCTAGAACATTTAACAATACATTCAAATAAAACAAAACCAATAGCACTTTACCATAAGTTAAATTGTGCAGAGGCGCTTTCTTTGCCTGTTGACATTGAATCTTTGGCTTGACCGGGAGTAAGATATTTGATGGTTCTAGAGGAACTTCTTGGACTGAGGTTGAGATTTTTTTTTTAGAAAGAAGGTGAGATGTGTTAGTCACTGAGAAGGAAAAAAATACCTTTTAAAAATATTTAAATAAAGATTTAGGTTTAGTAATGACCAGACAAATATAGGCACATAGACTTTTATAATATATTAGTTACGTAAGTTTTTTCCTTTATTATTTTCTCATGCCTTCAACCCATTCTCTATACTTACATCATGCTGAGAATTTTTTTAAAACCTCCTTTCAAAGCTTTTTAAAAATATATATGCTTTTTAAATTGATTTTGAGAGAGGAAGGGAGATAGAGAAACATTTATCAGCTGCCTCGTGCACTCCACCTCCCGGGGATAGAGCCCACAACCTGGGCATATGCCCTGACCGGGGTTCATAGGTCTACGCTTAACCACTGAATCACACTGGCACGCTGAGAAAGCATTTTTAAAAATTTCATGTTACATCTTGCCAACTTTAGACAAAAGTATACTACTGAACTTAGAAGCCTAGAGATCTGGAATAAAATCAGGTATATATAATATGTGAAGTACCATCCAGTTTTGAAAATTCTGCTTCTGGGTGCTGTAAATTTCTAAAATGTGAAAGAAGAGTTGACGAGTTGTAACTTATATTTTAAAAATCAAAATGCTGAAACTCAACAGCAAATTCAGTAATAATTTATACCCCTTTGACAGCTCTTTAGCAGATCTTCAAATGCACAAATCTGGTAGGCTTATCAACTAAACAATAAGAACTTTGAGTATTGCTTACATTTTATTCTGCTATACCTCCTAGAGCAGTGGTTCTCAACCTTCCTAATGCCACGACCCTTTAATACAGTTCCTCATGTTGTGGTGACCCCCAATTTCATTGTTACAAACTGAACGTAATTAAAGCATAGTGATTAATCACAAAAACAATATGTAATTATTTATGTGTTTTCCAATGGTCTTAGGCGACCCCTGTGAAAGGGTCATTTGTTCCAATGGTCTTAGGCGACCCCTGTGAAAGGGTCATTTGACCCCCAAAGGGGTCGCGACCCACAGGTTGAGAACCGCTGACCTAGAGCATTAAACTAAATTATTTTACGTTTAATTTCAAATATTATACTTGAAAAAAATCAGGAGTGAATATGCTTTAATAAGTGTGCAACTTTGGCCTTAGAAATCATAATACAAAGATTTTATTAATTTTTTATAATTCTTTAATTATTTCAGAGAGGAAAGCAGAGGGGGAGAGAGAGAGAGATAGAAACATCAATGATGAGCCCTAGCTGGTTTGACTCAGTGGATAGAGCATCAGCCTGCAGACCAAAGGGTCCAGGGTTCAATTCTGGTCAAGGGCACCCACCTTGGTTGCAGGCTCCTCCCCAGCCTGGGCCCTGGTTGGGGTATGTGCAGGAGGCAACCAATTGATGTGTTTCTCTCACAATGATGTTTCTGTCTTTCCCTCTCTAAAAAAAATAAAAAAGAAACATCAATGATGAGAGAGAATCATTGATCGGCAACCACCTGTACACCCCACGCTGGGGATTGAGCCCACAACCTGGCATGTGCCCTGACTGGGAATTGAACCGTGACCTCCTGGTTCATAGGTCAACGCTCAACCACTGAGCCACGCCAGCTGGGCTATAAAGATTTTATTATAATGACATGCTATAAAAGGATAAATTTCTATTTAACTTATTCTACAGAAATGGCAGGGCAATGCAGTAAAGAAAAGCAGATAATTTGATCAAATATAACATGCTGTTTATAACCTGGGTCATTTATTTCAGAGACTAACATCCATGCAGAGGGTCTCTGAAACTACATAACAAAATTTGTGTTTGTATATATGTGTCTAATCTGGGGAAAGAGTCATCAGATTATCAAAGCAGTCAGTCAGTTACTCATTTCTTCCTCTAATTCCAAATTACATATAATATGTGCTTTAATGTGCATATTCCATTTGCTTCTCCCTTTTCTCCCAGGCTGTATGAGAAACAGACTATTTTGTGTACTCCCCCACCTCCAGCCTAAATTCACCTAGAGAACTCTTTTTGTGTCAAAATATATCACTGTCTTTGAAACACAACAATGCACCCACAATCTACTGTGTAGTAGTTAAGACTGTGGACTTTCAAATAGATACCTGTATTTAATTCTCAGCCCATCACTTACTATCTGTGACACATAGGGCAGATAAAACCTCTTTGTAAGTTCCATTTCCTAGTCTATTAAAGTAGCATCTATCACAGGGGTGGGCAAACTTTTTGACTCGAGGGCCACAATGGGTTCTTAAACTGGACCGGAGGGCCGGAACAAAAGCAT